AGAATGAGCTGCTCGGCAATTGTGTGCGGTTTTTTGCATTGCGCGATTCTGTATGCTACTCTATATGAAGCCATCTGTGCCTTACTGTTTATTGATGCAGCTTTTACCATGCGAGTCTCCTGTTGACGGTATTCTGCCAGTTTTCTTTGAAAGAAATCAAGAGGCTTATTGACGTGACTGGGGTGTGTGGTCTCTAGGTGTCTTCTTAATTTGTTGGGTCTCATGCTATCTGCTGCTAGCGGTTTAAGACCTCTGCCCCCACCACCGCTGCCGTGAATCCAAGAGCAAGATATCCTTCATCATATTTTCTTTTTGGTTGGCTTTTTGGTTTATTAGGCCCGTCTGGTTGGTGTCTCTCTGCTGGTGCCGAGTCGACAAATTTTGAGGTCCGTGTCACAAAAAAATCCATGTTGTCTTGCCCACAATGGCCTGCAACCCATTGGCGCGAAACAGATGTACCGTATTTTCAGGACTATAAGGCGCATATAAACGTCTTTTTTTTCCCCTCAAAATGTGCGGCGCGCCCTTTTTGTGCGGTGCGCCCTATGTGTGTTGTTACTGCGGACTTTTGAGACCACCTCATTGAGGAGATGATGAAAGAGAAAGGAACTTCAACCGCTCGACATCGGTGTGAACCGGACCCAGCAGGTGCAGCAGAAGCAGCGAGTTTACATGCAAAGTCTGACGCGCGGCTGAAGAAGCTTTGCGGCTCTGCCTGCGTGGTGCAAAAGTGTGTCTGACGCGCATTGAGCGGAGCTATCCTATCCTTTCTTTGCAGCTATATTTGCTGTCCTGCAGCAAAACTTCAATTTTTTTGCATCTCCAGCAGCAGCAGCGCGTCAGATGCTTAAACGCTCCCAAAGCGCTGCACCTGCTGCACCTGCTGCGCTGCAGGACCTTTTGCTGCGTCTATACGCGTGTCAACCAGCAGCAAAAATGAAGCAGTAGGATAATAAAAGCGAACAAATTCTGCCTGCAGAATAATTCCACGAAAAGTGGAAGGCAGCTCTGCTGGCTCTGTTGTTCGAGCTTTCGCAAAAGCCGGCATCCTTTCCGAGGAGCCGCCCAGCACGGACTCTGACAGCGAAGAAGGGGAAATTGGCATGTTTGATTTAGTGCAGCTGTTTAATTCAGAAACAGAGGATGATGACTTTGATAGGTTCGATTAATACTTTGTAATAAATACATGAATAAAACACAATCATACTCAGTTTTGCTCCCGCTCTATTTTTAAATACGCAGTAGAGGTATTTAAACGTAGTAGAGGACATGCACCTGTATATAAAAAACGCGCCCTATAGTGTGCCTTATGTGTGTGTTAAATACAGAAATCATCACCTAATCTGCCACATGATGTGATGTGCAAGTTATTGGCGCTGTGGGAGAAATAACGTTGTAAGAGAGAGACAAAAAGAGAGTAAAAACACCCAAATAATATAGAGCTACTTTTTTCTGTCCATTAATGTTTTTTATTATTATTATTATTATTATTTATTAATGTTTAATTTATTACAAAACTAACCCTCCTCCTTTACCCGGGTTTGAGACCGGCAAAATGAACCAAAGAGACACTATGGCGGAGTTAGAATTTTTTTTAAACTTTTTTAAACGTTTTCTTTTTTCCCTTGTGGTCCACCAAGGAGCCTACAAATCACGGTAAAACATGACATGTGGCTGTGTGAATCAAATGCCGTTATTTATTTAAGATAAAATATTTCAAATTCAGTTATTTATGATCAACCTGCGCCGTCAATCCCGGCGCATGTGCGCTTTATTTGCAGTCTGGATGCTGAGGGTAAAAATCCTGCGGCTCTGACTGCAGCGCTGAGAGGGATATCGGGGTTGGGATGGAGTAGGCGCCCCACGGCAGCACCTGCCGCTGGAGGACAAGAAAAGGAACGATACGTGCTTTCATGTAAGAGTCTCCAAAAGTCGCTAGTCGCTTTTTTGAAAAAGAGTCGCTGGAAGGGTCTGAAATATAGCGACAAAGTCGCTGAGTTGGCAACACTGGGGCGCGAAAGTTTATTCCGTTACAAATAATATGCTGACGTCACGTCAATCATTATTTTGGCAATTCAGTTCCAGGTGAAATTTTTCTCATATCTAATGTTCTTTTAATTAGACTGTATGTAGGCTAGTAATGATTACTTTGTGGGTTTGATTGGTCTAAAAAGCGGCAACATACAGCTATAAGGACAGTTTGCTCTCACACGTTCTACATTTATAGTCACACAACACACACACACACACACACCGGAACTTGGCGCGCCCCACCTGTCACGTCTCAATTCCCCACCAGTGGGTCGCGCCACACACTTTGAGAACCGCGGCAATAAACCTTGTTAAACTTTTCATCAGCCTCCGTGTGTGTTCTGCATATTAGGTTTACTCTGTAACCAATCATGACAGCCTTGCCTTGCCCCTGCTACATCAGACCTTTTTGCAGGAATATATTAATAAGTCACATCTAAATCTTTTATTTAGACAAATCTATTGAACAACCTGATATCATATGGGTCCTATTTCCTGAGCTGAAAACAGGTCATAACCATGCTTTTCCAACAAGGCCAGGCACAGCCTATTTATATTGTACATTCACCAACAGACTCATTTATATTGCAAAGTGCACTATGTGAAAGAAAGAACAACTTAGAGAATAATTGTATTTTGGCTTGTCTTACATTTTCACGTTATTCAACATTTCAGCTTAGAAAATGACAAACAGTGTGATTTCAGTATTGGAGTAACATTTATTTCACCCAAGGGAAAGCACTACATATGAAGCTACAATTGTCCCTTTTAGCAGTTTTCTCACACCCAAGGTAAATTAGAATCCTTCCTGCATTTGTGACAGGTATACTTTGTGCAGTGCACACAACGCTCAGTGCTGTTGTTCCTGTTGCAGAGATTGCACAACTGGCCTGCTTATAAAACAATGAAAAAAATCTCAAAAAATGGAGTTAAGCACATATTCTGAGAGTAAGAGTTGTAGTCTGAACTAGATAATGTTATCTATGTGTGCTACAAGTTTGGTGGCACCACAATGAGCTATAGTGTAATTATTGGCTGTATATGCTTATAATTACACTTCAACACATTTTGGCTATAATTTACAAACTCAGAGGGGAATGAGTTTCAATCAAAGCTAAACAGTGATTTTATAAAAACAGTTGAAGAGACTAAAAAGGTGCATTCTGGGCTAACAGCCCAATGAGTTAAGATGTGTTTAAAGATTCTTATAGGTGTCTGGCTGATTTGATCTTTAAAGAAAACCTACATTCTAAAGGTTTTCCATTCATTTGAATGGAAGATGGAAACTGATCCAAAGGGAATGTTTTGAGAACTATCGAAATCTCTAAACACCAAAAGTTTCAGCAGAGTTCTCCTGAAAGAGCTGAATGTTTAGATGCTTGAATGGTTGAAATAGTCCAAAGGATTAAGTTAACGAGTAAAAATGTCCAAAAGCAGCTAGAAGCATGGAGAAGAACAAGAAAGACAATATAGGCGAATATGTATTACACCATAAAACATCTGGACTCACCGAGCTTTTCTGCAGTTCCTCACAGCTGGAACCAGTCTACATCGTCCACCACCTGATGTTTTGTACTTCTGCAGGTCCAACTCATCCAGAACCTCCTCCGACATCTCCAGCATGTAGGCCAGAGCTGAACTCTGGATCACTGAGAGCTTCTTCTCTGATCTGTTCTCTGATTTCAGGAACTGTTGGATCTCCTGATAAACTGAGAGGTCCTTCATCTCTATCAGACAGTGGAAGATGTTGATGCTTCTATCGGGAGAGATGCTATTAGTTTTCATCTCCTTCAGATTGTTGATGGCTCTCTGGATTGTTCCTGGAATGTTCTCTATGTGACCCAGCAGGCCTCCTAATAGGCTCTGGTTGGACTCAACGGAGAGGCCATGAAGGAAGCGAGCAAACAGGTCCAGATGACCATTTGGACTCCTGACTTTCTTCATAAAGTTCTCCAGAGATGTTTCTCTGTGTTCTCCTCCCAGGAAGTTCTCCACCACTCCTGTGTTCCTGTTGGTGAAGCAGTGGAGCATGTAGACTGCAGCCAGAAATTCCTGGATGCTCAGATGAACAAAGCAGTAGATCGGTTTCTGGAAGATCACGCTCTCTCTTTTGAAGATCTCTGTACAAACTCCTGAGAACACAGAGGCCTCTCTGACATCCAGACTACACTGCTCCAGGTCTTCTTGGTAGAACATGATGTTTCCTTTCGCAAGATGTTCCAAGGCCAACCTCCCCAGCCTCAGAAGAACTTCCCTGTCAGCCTCCATCAGCTCCTGGGGACTCGTCTCATGTCCTTCATGGTACTTGTTCCTCTTCTTCCTGGTCTGGACCAGCAGGAAGTGTGAGTACATGTCAGTCATGGTCTTGGGCAGCTCTCCTCTCTGCTCTGTGGTCAACAGGTTCTCCAGAACCGTAGCAGTGATCCAGCAGAACACTGGGATCCCACACATGATGAAGAGGCTCCTGGAGGTCTTGATGTGGGAGATGATCCTGCTGGCCTTCTCCTCTTCATTGCTGAACCTCCTCCTGAAGTACTCCTCCTTCTGGGCGTCAGTGAAGCCTCGTACTTCTGTAACCCTGGAAACACAGGAAGGAGGGATCTGATTGGCCGCCGCAGGTCTTATCCAGACGACAGCCGAGGGAAGTAGGTTCCCCTTGATGAGGTTCATCAGCAAAACGGTGACTGATGACTTCTGTGTGATCTCAGAAACAAGCTGACAATTGTTAAAGTCCAGAGAAAGTCTGCTTTCATCCAGGCCATCAAAGATGAAGAGAAGCCTCCAGACTGCCAGCTTCTCTGCTGGGACCTTCTGCAGGGTCGGATGGAAAACATGGAGCAGCGTGAGAAGACTGTGCTGCTGATCTCTGATCAGGTTAAGCTCCCTGAAGGAAAGCAGAACCACCACACTGACATCTTGGTTCTCCAAGCCCTCTGCCCAGTCCAAAGTGAACTTCTGCACTGAGAAGGTTTTTCCAACACCAGCAATGCCGTTGGTCAGAACCACTCTGATGGCTCCATGTTGGTCAGGTAAGGCTTTAAAGATGTCATGGCAACTGATTGGAGAACCATGGAGGCTCTGGATTTTGGAAGCTACCTCCAGCTGCCTCACCTCATGTTGGTTGTTAACCTCTTCATTCCTTCCCTCTGTGATGTAGAGATCAATGTAGATCTTGTTCAGGAGAGTTCTACTTCCTGTTTCATCACTTCCTTCTGCCACACATTGACATCTCCTCCTCAGACTGATCTTATGTTCCTCCAGAACCTCCTGCAGACCAACATCTGCTGAAACAGAGATGAAAAGACAACTGAAAGAAAAACCTGATTTAGAGATTAAGTTGGAACCAAATCATCTGGAACATTATGAGGTGTTATCAATCGAAGGTCTCTTTCTTCACTTGATCTGTTGCTAATGATCTGATCAGTCCTCAGAACCAGAGACTTTATAACCCCTTAAGCCCTGAGGGGCTTAGGAGCCGATTCTGCCTGAAATTACATATGTGTATCAAATCAAGGACAGCTCTGAAACTATAAATTGGAAATAAAATTGTGTGTATATGTATGAGAGAAAGGCATTGAATATTTTTCAGGTGGAACCAGTACTTTAAATGTCACCATGTCTGATTTATAGGTGATTAAACAAAGAAAAAATGAAATACATTTAGCCTAGCAAATTTTCTTTTTCCAAATAAACCCTGCAAAACAATTCGAAACTCTGGATGAACCATCAGACTTTATAGATCCATATCTTGACTATAACTCAGGCAAATTTGGACTGAATAAGTTGAAGCATGTTTGTTCGACAAAGGTTTTAGTGAGCAGTGTGATAGGCAGAAATGTGATTTTGACACAGTGGTGCCAAAAGTGGGAAAATTGTGCCAAATGCAAATTTCCACTCATAAAAGGGAATCTGACCAGACAATATGCTGATTTACATTATTGGAGACCTTATGCATGAAGCAAAGCCTTTTCTCCTAAGATTTAGCCCTTGTTTTTTTTTTTTTTTTTATTTATTTAGGATTGAACAGTCAATAATATGACTTAATTTAATAGAAAATAAGAGGACTTGTGTAATTTTGGTCACCAAACAGGGATAATTTATTGGAAACAAGAGTAAGAAATCCAAAAACTGTACAAAAATGTAAAAATAAATTAGAATCAGACGCTTCTGTCAAGAAAATGTGCAAAATATTTATTTATGCAAATTATTAAATAAAAGACATGTGCAATAAATGTTTCAATTGTGAGGTTTGACCACTTGATTTTCTTTACACCAGCTAGTATCCTTTTTGCATTTCACTGTTTTTTCTTTACAATGTTGAGGCTAAACGTAGCTGCCTGGAAGGTGGCCGGTACTCCTTCTCTTTTGGAGCATCATTGCTGTAAAACCATCACATATATCTAGAAAAATATATTTCCTTTGAAAACAACAACACTGTAGCAGCATCTGACACTGACTTCTAATCATCATAGGAACCTAAATCTAAGGAAGTTATGATACATCAGAACTCATATATGCACTCATTCAGATCGTTGCAGAATAGAAATCTCAAGTCTCAGCCGTGGCAGAGGACCTGACCTCCTGTTTTAGTGATGGTCCTGGGACAACCTCTAGACTATAAAAATAAATAAAAATAGTTTATTACAACAAGGTAGTTTATTACACACCATAAAAAGATGTATTGGCGGAATGTGGGTATTTTAAAAGTTGTACAACTTTCCCTGAATCAATCTTGCAAACATTACACAGTGGGGAAGTAGTTTTACAAATAAAACTTTGGAGTGATGTTTCCTACAGTTTCTTTTTTCTGCTTTATCAGAAACAGCAGAGATGTGTTGTATAAACTCAATAAATAAATAAAAATCCTGTGAAAACAGCACATAAAGATCAAAGCGCTGCAGCTTGCCTGAATATTGTTCCGCAGAACAAACTTTCTCCTGCATCAGCCAGTGGGGGAGGAGAACTATATACTGCAGCTTCGGTGTTAATTTTCCTACTGTTTTCAGGTTAACTCTTTTTCAAAAACACAAGAGATGTGCTGTATAGACAGTGTCAAGTTTTTGTTGTGATTTAGTTTTTTTCCCTCAGTAATGCTCCACTTGAAAGAGCCCAGTCAGCAAGGAACAACTCAGAACAAGGATTTCCCCTTTTTTTTTTTTTTTATTGAGTTGTGTTTTCTTGATTTGATTGGTGAAGAGGTCATTCAGTCATTCAGGTTGAAAACGTTGAACACAAGAGTAACAGGAAATATTGCCTTATTTTAAGTTTAAACAAACACAAATCATTAAAATGTAAAAATAAAGATCCATAAAGTAAATACTAATTACAACAAATTTTGAATGCAACCAAACTAGCAATGCCTTAGCATTAAGTCAGCATAAGTGCCAACAAACCTTTAAGTTTTAGCATTAATCTGATATAAACAAATATATCTTGTTTAACATTTAACTTAAGAAGTAAATAAGATATAAAATAGTGGAGTGTCAAACAAAAGCACTAGTCCAATAAAGTCATCAGGTTTGCTGTTCCAAATAATTCGACTGGTTTGAGTCACTAATTTAAACAATAAGCTGCATCGTCAAGCTGAACATAAACTTCAGACTTCAAACAAGGCAAACAAATTAAGTGAAAATAATTAACTGAAAGCCACTAACATTAAAATAAACTAAGTCAGATGCCAACTGAGACAAACATTTACATGTGCACACTTAGAGCACATGGTTAAGCAGAAATTTCTTCTTCTTCGTGTGGGAGGAGTGTGAGTGGAGAAGTGGAAGAGAGAGCGCGTGAGGAAACTGTTTGAGTGCATTTTTTTGTGTATGTAAATATTGTTTATATAATTGTGTTTTTTGTTGTTTTATAGTTTTTTGTGGTCTTTGTGGATTGTGAGGCCGTTGGGTTCTGCCCGGCGGCAGGCCGGCTTCTCTGCACGCCATGGTGGTGGTGGGGAGTGTTGGAGGTTTCTCCACTCTGAAACGGAAGGTGGGTGCTGGTTCTCCATGCAGCGTGGAGGAAGTGTGTTTGGCTGTGGGGGAAGTCATTGGACATGGGTCCATCAAGTCAGCAGCTAGCATGAGTGGAGCTGTCGTCTTGTTTGTAGAGAGAGTGGACCTCCTCTAACATGACATGTAATCAAAGTGTGCCCTGACGGGGCCGGGCGGCGGCCCGCTGCTGCTGAGCAGATGGGGCCCCCGCCTAGTGTGGCTGCTGCCGCGGAGGGGCCCACCGCTGCTGCTGCGGGGGAACCCGCCCTGCTGCGGCAGAGTGGCCCGCCACTGCTGCTGGGGAATGCGCTGCTGCTGCGGCGGAGGGGCCTGCTGCTGCTGCCGCTGAGGAGCCCACTGCTGCTGTCGGAAGGACCTGTGGTTGCTGCGGAGGAGCCAATGGTGGATGAGCCTGCGACCGATATTGTTGAGGCGTCAGTCGTGAAAAGTGTTAAAACTTTGAAAATGATAGTGTGTGTGAGGAAGGATGGGAGCACGGTGCTGAGTGGTGATGGGGTGAATGGTGGTGAGGGTGAGAGCGCCGGTGGGGAGAGAGACCGTGTGCAGGAAGAGCAGGAGGGGCTGAAGTGTGATGGGGGCTATTTGGCGTGTGGAGTTCAGGGAGAGAAATGTGAGGTGGAGGTTAGAGGGCAGGTGGAAGGTTCAACTGAAAACAGTGTAGATTTGTTTTGTGGAGGTGGTGTGGAGGGAGAGAGGGGTCAAGCAGAGGAGGTGATGGAGGCTTCTGCACCGAAGAGAAAAAGTAAAAGGAAGAATGTGGTGGCTGCTGCACAGGCCAGCAAGCTGGCCAGCAAATAGGCCAGCCAGAGAAGGATGAGGAGTCAGACAGCAGCGAAGCTGAGAGCTGGGTCTCTGACACCAGTGAGCTCTCTGTGTCACAGTCCAATGACAAAGAGCCTTTATACCCCGCAGAATCTTTTAGGAATTTTTTTGTGAATACCAAAGGTTTTAAGGGATTAAAAATAGAGGCATATTTTCCTAATTTAAGATTATTTTATTCATCTGCAAGACATCACATCAGCAACAAGGGGTCATCAGGTTTAACTGATAGACAAATCTTTAGATTAAGGAAAATAATGTCCAAAGTCAGAAAACAGCTTTAAACAGAATGATGCACAACAGCACTTTATTACTTTTTATAGTTTTTTGTTGTGTTGGTTTTAGCTTCTTACCCATTATGGATTCTTTTAAAATAGCATCTTTGAATCTTAACGGGGCGAGGGTGGGTGAAAAATGTGCTTTAATTTATCAAACTTTAAAACAAAAAACATTTGATGTTGTGTTTTTACAAGAAACCCATAGTGACCTTTTAACTAAAGCAGATTGGGGTAGAGAGTGGAGGAGGGAGGTCATCTTGAGCCACGGCACCTCCCAGAGTGCGGAGGTGGGGTTTCTTTTCTCCAGAACTCTCACCCCAACTTCTACAGAACTTCAGCATGTCATTCATGGCAGGTGTCTTTTAGTCAAAGCAAAGTTTGATCTTTTTTAGCATCGTTTTTATCAATATTTATGCACCTATTACCAATGCAGAGAAAAAGCATGTTTTTTTAAAAATTGGGGAAAGGTTGGGTGATTGTGGGTCTGATTACTATGTTTTTTTAGGCGGGGATTTTAATTGTACCGAAAATGAGCTTTTAGACCGCAATCATCCAGAGCCGCATCCAGCGGCCCAACACGCTCTGCGGCAGCTGGTCTTGTCTCACGGCCTGGTGGATGTATGGAGGAGGATGCTGGCTCCAGGCAGTACACATGGTCCCACATCAATGAAAACAGAATCTCATTTGCTCTGCTTGATCGTATTTATTGTTTTAAACACCATTTTAACGTGTTTAAGGCATGCCAGATTTTACCGGTGGCTTTTACGGATCACTCGTTGCTTTTAGGTAGTGTTTTTATTAGAAACATTTTACCATCAAGCGCTTACTGGCCTTTTAACTCTGCTTTAAGTCACGCTCAAGGTTTTAAGGAGACTTTAAGTTATTTTTGGACTGGTTTTAGACAGAGAAAGTCAGATTTTACCTCTCTTAGACAGTGGTGGGACTATGGGCGTAGGAATATGTTTAGAATTGGGGGGGGACATGTCGGAAATCTGAGATTCGTAAATATTC